AATGCCAGGCAGGCCAGTCCTTGACGGCACAATCTCAACTTTTTGTTTTTACATCAAGAAGTCTACCAGTACCCGAGAAGTTTGGCAGGAGGAGGCCAGGCAGTGCTCGCTCACTGCTGCGCAGCTCGGAGCGGCATCCATCCCGCAAGCAGAGGGCTGTTTCCTCGCCCAGTATCCCTGGGCAGTCCACACAAGACCATGTCCCGATGTCGGGGTCACCGTTCCCATCTGGAGCCAGATAACTCGACAGCCCACGTGGGCTACACAAGGCCGAAGAGCAGCTATAAACACAATATAAACAAGGGGTTCAGCTAGCACACAGCGAGACAGCTTCAGGTTCAAGAGCAGCTTTGAAGTCTGATGAGTTCATGGCAGCTTTAGGCATTAAGTGAGGCAGAGCGAGGGTAAAGGAGCAGTTAACAGCCAGGGAGCATTTGTAAAAAGAATTACACCCAAAAGCAAAGGAAATGGTGATTAATCAGACCCAGGGGTCACCGTTAGAGCCTCCGACACCTCCTCCAGAGAGGCTAACAGCAAAAGCAGCAGGAAACACTCCACACTCCACTGAAAATGCAGAACTGGAGGGAGAGGCAACGCAGAGCCACAGAAGCAGAGAAGGGATTTCAGACACACTGTTTTGAGCCCAACACCTGGTGCATGAAACTAACGGAGAGAAATGCAGGAAACACTAAGGGGGCTTTAAAGGGAGCCTTGGGAGAACAGTGGAAGCTTCCTTACAAGTGTCTGAAGCGGTAAACCAGAAGACTAAAGCACAAGAGCACCGGAGGGGGAAGAGGTCTGGAACTTATTTGGGAGTTATGGACCTGACTGCTCAGCTGCTTAAAATATTTTGCAAGCTCAGGCACCTCATCACTGCAAGAGCGTACCCTGCCCAGCAGAAAAAGCAGGCAAGGCTTTCCACTTCGCCAGAGGCGAAGGCAACAACCCAAAGTGGCTGGCATCGAAACGAGCCCACTGTTCACAGCAGCTTTCCCGAGGGCTCAACGCCGTCAGGGTAGCGATGACACCCACCTAAGACTGCGCTGTGCCGGCACAACAGACATGGTACGAGCACCCTGTTTGCAGGGAGGGGGTAAATGGCGTGCCAGGCTAGCACCCTGCCTTCCGACAGCCGCCCACAGGTTAGAAGTTCACTGTAGGCTGCATCTGGTACAACACACCCCCGTTTTCTTTCTGAAAGCATGGTGTTGCATCAGAAGAACACCCTGGAAAAATGTACGTACATGCAGTAAACAACAGCCTGAACTGCGCATGGAAAGCGATTAAAAGCCCTCACAATAACCTCAAGGTACTCTCAGCCTTACCGTGTTGCAGGAATTCAGCCTAAGAATTGTATTGCAAGCTTTTAAATTGTCAAGAGCAAGACCTATTTGCCTGTGCTAAGTGACTTTTACCCACATAATCTAGCACAAGGATGAGGCGTCTTGCTCCACTGACCCAACCTTCATTGTTCTGAGATATCAAAAAAACCCCCACAATACTACACTTGGGACCGTAACATTTATTGAAGGCTGGTTATACAATCTCACCCATCACATCCTCCACACAATTCAGGTTCCCTAAATAAAAAGAGCACTAATGTAACGGAGAATTCTGCCCACCTCCGACTGCCTGAGCCACGGAGCACCGAGTCATCTTTGTCCCAGGTGCCTTCTGGAATAGGCCAACCACCGCTTGTACTGATCTTGGTGAAAACAACAACGCCGCACAACAGGGCAAGTGGCAGCAAACAGATCAGTGTGCGGCAGCAGGGGGAGAAGCAGAGATGTCCCATTTCCAGCATGTACATGAGAAGTATTTCCTGCCGAGGAAGTATCTTCTCCCCCGTGCCTGAAATCCATCTAGTACTTAAAGTGAATCTCTGCTATTCTGACCCCCAGCCACAACCCACTCGATCTGTGCCCCCAGCTGGCAGCGCTATGGTTCGCACAGGCACAGCAGAGCCACTGTCCTAACAGCTGAGATGTCCTCTTTCTCTCGGCTGACACCCGAAAAAGAGCCTGGCTTGACTGAAGAGCGAGCCCTGAGCGTCCCTGTTCCGTAGTGCAGGACCTGCAAGTCTGTAAGGGCCCTGGCTCAGCCAGCCTAAAGGCACTGAAGCTTTGCTGTGAAACCGGATTGATACAGCACCCTGGTGGTCAGGGAGTCACCTGGGCTACCTGCTCGTCCCAGGAGTGAGCAGATGAAAACTCTGCTCCTGTTGCTCAAACTGCCTGGAAAGGGGCAATTCTCAAACCTAGCTCAATGGTCAGCGGAGCCACAGCTCTGACCGTAGGTGGGAGGAATGCGTTGTCAAGAGTGTTGTTTTATTTGATTAAGAATTCGAAATGGGTTGAATTTTAATTTCCTCTGCTTTTACCAACGAGGAAATTGCAAAGATTCTTTTGGAAAGGGCTGATCTGGTAGGTGGAGGTGACCAGGCTAGCTATGGCTGCAGAGCCAGGCTCACTGCGGCAGCTGGAGGAGCACAGACTGTCCAGAGGGCAGGTAGGTGATGTTGCGGGACCGTGAGAGCTGGTACGCGATGTCTTCAGCTGCCTCCAGCTTGCGCAGCTCAATCAAGCCATCGCCTGCAGTGGCCAGGGAGTTGGCAATCAGCTCGGCTGCTTTCGAGTCTCCCTCAGCAGAGATGACAGCTGCCTTCTTCTGCTGTTCCGCCTGAAAGTAAACAGATGAGAAGGGGAATAGCCAACAGAGAAAACAAGAGCAAAAGAGAAGGAAGATGCTACTGTCACGCTTAAAATAAATATTCCCACTTCACCACCCTACTGTTCTTTTCCCTGGTAGGAGAGCTAAGATAAAAGGTGATTTTATTTTAAAGCTGCATTCTGTTAGACTGCTTTTCTGCCCACTGTGGAAGAAAGGTTGAAAAATCATCTTGAAATTGCCATATCAGTCTTAACCTCATAAAACATTAACCCACCTAAGGGCACTCCTGGTGGAAAATTGTCTATGAAAGACTGGAAAACTTCAGTGGAATTAAAACCAGGTCAGATAAACACTTGTACTGTTTAATCATCCTGGCTGATTACATGCACCTTACCGCATCCACTGGATTAACTCTGGGTGTAGTTGCAGGTTCTTGCAATCTCACCAGGCATGTGTTCTGAGCTTTACACGAAACTGTTTCTGTGGATGCGCACCAAGATCCTGGGTTGATCTGAGATTACGTGGCTTGCATGCAGTCAGTAACACTCCTGGGACACGGGTCCCCGTGCCCATGGTATGAAACGCCACGGAAAGCTTTGGCCACCCTCTCAAAATTCACGAACAGCAGGATCACTCGGGTTGCAAATCTCAACCTCAAATCCCGTTTCCACCTGACGCTTCCGCCTGAGTGCTGTTTCCTCCCTCCTCCTCCATGCAGACGTTTCTGTTCAGCACTCCAGTAAGGCTGTGACCCGGTATTAAAAGAAAAAAAAAAAAAGACCCACACTCCTGGGACACGGGTCCCCGTGCCCATGGTATGAAACGCCACGGAAAGCTTTGGCCACCCTCTCAAAATTCACGAACAGCAGGATCACTCGGGTTGCAAATCTCAACCTCAAATCCCGTTTCCACCTGACGCTTCCGCCTGAGTGCTGTTTCCTCCCTCCTCCTCCATGCAGACGTTTCTGTTCAGCACTCCAGTAAGGCTGTGACCCGGTATTAAAAGAAAAAAAAAAGACCCACAAACCCAACCTTAGGCTTCATCTATCCAACAGTCATATGCCAGGGCCGAGAACCATGTCAGCATTGCAACCCTAAGCGACTTCATCATTCCACCTGCCCGATCTCCTGGACAGGCGAGCGAGATGTTCACTGCAAGCAAGAGCAGGAAGGAGATACCACCATCAAGTTTCTCAGAAGGACGAGGTACCTTTTCCACGATGAATCTGGCTCGCTCTGCTTCTTGCTGGGCCACTTGCTTCATTTCGACCGCCTCCGTGAACTCCTTGCCAAAGGTCAGGTGGGTCTGCAGGGCAGAAATCAAGCAAAGTCCACAACACTGGCAGTTTACAGCAGCACTGCTGTGATCCACGCAGCTCCCAGCGGGGAGGCAGCCTGCCTGCATCAGTGAAACAGGAATGCAGACGGAATGCCAGTATCCCTAAAAGAACAGGAACTGGGACAAGCGGGCCTCCCCATCCAGTTTTGAAGTCTCAAGGGAGACATCACAAGCGCAGCTCCAGTCCAGCAGACCAGGAACACCAGTATCTTTGGAGACCCACCATGCTCCCCTGCCACCACTGCCTGCACCCAGCCGAGGCACCCGCTCGCCCAGCGCCCCCCTCCCAAGGCAGGGAAGCCCGCTGGCTGCCAGGCCATCCTACACCTTTCATGCCCCATTACGCACCAGTGCGCGCAGCCTGGGCTGTTTGTGGGCTCCGGGGATGGGACAGGGGAAAGGTGAATTTCCTTCAATAGCCCGCTCAGTGGAAAGCGCCAGAAACAGTCAAAATGTCACATTTTGCAGAAGCAAAGTCACTTTCCTGCAAAGACTTCCTATGTGTTCCAAGCCAAATGAAAGAGCTCGTTTCCCTTTCCTCTAAGCAGGCTTTCGAGGGAAGTCCCAAAAGAGAGCGGGAAAGGTGCACGTACAAGCCAGGATGCAACAGACTTAATTTACAAAGCTTATAGGAATGTAGGAGGGAAGAGCCCCCTCCTTGAATAGTCTTAGAAGACTGCACAGCCAGGAGAGTAACCAATACTTCATAGAAAAAAAGATGCTACGAAAAGCCTACATTTGTACTACCTCCTCGCGTCGAGCACTCTCTCCCTGCGTCTCAGGGTGCTTGCGGAACAGCTGCCTTCTCTAAAGCAACGTGCAGCTGATCCATCACCCACAGAAGCCTTTGCTCTTCGTTTTAACTATAAAAGCCCTACAACAGCAAAGGCTGTCAATAAGCCAGCGCAGCGGCGCCTTCAAGGGCTTGCTCAAGGTCACCGAAGGCCAGCGACAAAACCAGAGGTACTGACTGGAACAGCAGCCGCTGCATACCGTGCAACTGCAGACAGACAAACACAGTCCACATGTCCAAACCTCCAGCCCGCCTTTCTCTGGCCATCCACTGATTCTCTTCTCCACTGCTCCTATTTGGGCACACTCCTGAGAGAACAACTGAAAAAGGGAGAACTCTTACCAAGGACACATCGTCCAGAATGAGCCCGAAGGTGGCTGCTCTCTCCGTGAGGTCTTCGCTCACTTGCCTCGAGACCAGCTCTCTCTGGGTGATCAGCTCTCCCGCATCAAAGCGAGCCTGAAATCGGGATGGACACCAGTGGGAAGCAAGCTCCAAGAAGCAAGATTGTCCAGGCCCTGCCCGTCGTTGCACCCATGAGCCCCCGAGTTACTCCAGTTCTCCCAAAGCTAGCAAACACCGAGCTGCCCAGGCGTTTGAAGCAAGAGAAAGACTGAATGACTGGGAATTTAAGTGGAAGCCGGAGGGGAGGTTGTCCAGCTGAGCACTTAACGGAAAAGCTGGACTAAAGCTGGTTAGCGATTGCGTGGCTCTCCCCTGGGGATGCTCCCAAAACCAGAGATCTTCAGTAAGCTGAAATCTAGGAATAAACGAGAAGTGAAAATCAGAGTCTCCTGACTGTGACTCCCAGCCTGAAAGCCAGAGCTAAGAGCCGAGAGCAGGCAACGAAGAAACCTGCCACCCAGAGATACCCAACGTGAATCAAGTCAGGCCAAGCAGTCAGAATGACCGAGGCACAAACAATTAGCGTGGCTACAATCAGCTTTGCTGGCTGGCCCAGGAGAGCCTGGGGGCTGGAAAGAGCAGCTTTATTCTGGAGTGCAACACATTCCATGCTGTGGCAGGTTCCTCTCTGCTGAGAAGAGGGAAGAAAGGCGGCCGGCAGAGCCCAGCATCTCTCACGCTGGCCTTACCACAACAGACTTGAGGATTTCGGTTGTGATTGAGGGCAGGACACGCTCGTCGTAGTCCTCTCCAATACTGGTGAAAATCCGCGGTAACTGGGCAGTCACTGGTCTGAACAGGATACGCAACGTGATGTTCACGTTCTGTAGATCTGTAACAGGAGGGTCACGAGTTTAGTGGCAAACCACGAGGGCGGGAGATGTCTTGATGTTGTCCTCTCCAGGGTAACTTAATGAGTTATTCTGACTACCCCTTTCACCCTGGGACCCAAATCCTCCTTACAGATAAGGCCAAAGCTTCAGTTGTTTGCGATGCAGGGAATTACTTGCCCTACTGTAAATACAGAGGCTGCAAGTTTAAAGGGACAACCTCCAGGACTGAAGGAAGGGTCCTTTAATCTGTTCTGTAACTAAAAAGACAGATCAGAGTGTTCCTGACTCTGTGCCAAACGGGACTCAGCACACCTGGGATCTCCCCGTCCAGGAGACGAGATGCCCACCCAAATGGGATGGAAGTTAAAGATCGGGAAAGTCCCAAGGGTGGTGAAGTGTTTCCTCGTGTCCACCCAGCTGCTAACTGCGCAGCACCAGCACGAGCCACGGCACATCGTCAGCTGCCGGGCCCAAACACTCACCTTTGCTGCCGGTGATCACAGGAATGTTGCGGGGGCGAGAGCGGCAGTCAAAAATGATGGGTTTCTGTACCCAGGGGATGAGGAAGTGGGTACCTTCTCCTACCACCGTGTCCTGGACCCCGCGGAACCGGTCAAAGATGACAGCTCTGTGACCCGCATCAACTGGAGACAAAAACAGCACGTCAAGCGCGGTTTCGCTATCGCCATCCCTTGTACCTGCGCACCGCCAAAACCTTCTCAGCGGAAGTGGTCTAGCGGGGGTAGTTAAAGCCTTTTGCTACAGGAGACCGGTGAAATTAATGAGAATGTTGGGAGCAACCAGGCAAAAAGAAGATGCAGCCGTGACTCCTGGCCCCCCAGTCTGCTCACAAGGGCAGCAGCTACCCGACAGCTTTCTAGAGAAAGGGCCGTACACTCCTCTCGCTTGTGCGACGCACGAGGAATGAAACAGCCCAGCGGGGCTTTGTGTCCATTTTCCCCTGATACCATTAGCAATAAAAGCACAGAACAGCCAAGATACTGACAAAAAAAAAAAAAAAAAGAGAAAGATATAAAGTGAACTGGAAGCGCTCAGCTTCTCGCACTCACCGTTGTAAAGGGCAGAATTGACAACTCCACCCGCGACAGCCAAGCCCAGGCCAAGCTTCCCGATGCTTTCGAACACCTTCGCGGCCATTTCACACGTCCAGCTCCAGCCCCTTCAAAGAGTCCCTCCTGCGAAGCCCCACCAGCTCGTTAAAGCCCCATTAA